ACGGGAAACTGTAGTATTGCAGGGATAGTGTTTTTAACTGTGTTGGTAGGTAAACATTAAAGTGTTGCAAAAAGAGGTGTGGTACACGTCTTCAGATTACTGTCAGTGGGTTTGGTGTTGGTTTGGTGTGGGTCAAAAACAACACCTCTATGACAACAGCAAGGCAATGAAAAAAAAAACATCTGGATTTAGAATGGAACTTGACTTTGGACAGCAAACCATAATTATGTTTCCATGACTATTAGTTAGTGTAACCCTTTAAAGCCTGATCCAAGAAGAATAGGAAGAATATTGGATTTTTTAAATTTGAAGTCTTTCTTTGGCCCCTCAACAACATATGAAGAAAAAAAACAGAAATTATTTTGATCAAATTAGTGTGCAATAAGTCAAAAATGTATTTTCGTGTAGTCTTCTACTCGCTGTTATCAGGTATATCTGGTTTTGAGCGAAGCTTTTACCATTGAATGATGCAAAAAGTCTCAGATCGAAAAGACTTCAGAAACCCTATGCATCAAATATGATACATTTGGCATTATAGGGGTAAAAATTGGAGAATCTTCTTCCAGCATACCATCAATATTGCTGTAATTTACAAGAAAAGATTTGTTATGCAAATATTTGTTTCACTGGCTGTCCACTACAAGCTACTGGCCGTAGCTTTTACCTTTAAGTATGTGTTAGATGCCAACAAGCGCCAGGTCCAGCTTTTTATGCAAATCTTGACCACACAGAGCAGCTTTCAGGGTAATTTCAGGCACGCAGGTAACGAGGAAAGTGCACAGCAAACTGTAAAACATCAAATAAGGCTTTGAGGAGTGCTAAGAGGTTAGGGGAAAGCAATTAAAACCCTAAACACTCACAAAACACAACATTCTTCAACCGGGAATGCGCTTCACTATCGGAACCCACCGTAAAGTCCCACTGGTTCTATCTGCTGCAAATACACACTGTAGCTATAAAAGAACTAGAATGATTTATATAGCTCAATTAAATGTTAATGGTCACTTAACAGCACTACTCTGATGGCATATTAAAAGTGATGCTTGTTTAGTTTCATTCCACTTTGTGTGACTGTCTGCTTTATTCTCCATCAGGGTTTTTTTTGTTTTTTTTGTTAGTCTTGAGGTTCTATGTGCTTTTTCTCAAATGTTTCTTTGCCAGATTACCAGAAAGGAATGGAAACATTTCTTTACAGGATTTTGTACATTAAATTTTGGATATTGGGCATCAAATCAGAATTCTTACCCATCTGAATCAGACTTTAAATAAACCAAAAGCAACACTTTTCTAGTTTTCTGGTTAATAAGTCTTTTTTTCCCCAGATTAAACAAAAACTGCCAGCATCATATCTTGTAGTTGTCCCTTTCCACGGGGGAATACAGGCCACTATCAAACCTCGCCTTGGGCTATAACCTTTGTTCTCAGATATCAAACCCATGCAGTGGTATAGTGTACGGGATCAAAATCTGGGAGTAACATTGATATTCAGACAAAATAGCACCAGTGGCCTTTGAAATAATCTTTCCATGCAAGACCATCCGTTTTTCATTCCGCATGCACTGCATTAGGACACACTATATCACAGAGGGGAAACAGTTGGGAATTCGATCGATGTTCCCTTTGAAATCTACTCCAGTAAAATTTTTTACTTTGCCTCCATACACCCGGCATGTGTGTGTGTCGCGCTCACAAGCGTGTGTGTGTGTGGTGTAAGTGTGTTTTGTGCCTGCAGAGCGTGCTGTGTGTTGCAGTAAATCGCAACAGACTCTTCCCAGGGGGACACGAGGAGGAAACCGATGGGAGAGCGAAGCTGGATTGGTGGGTGGGTGATGGGGCTGAGAAGCTGACAGAAACATTATTCAAATCATATCCCCCCTCCCGCTTGTTTTGTTACTCGTCTTCTCCCGCAAGTCCTCGCTAAAACCCCAACATTTAGTCGCATCAAGAGAGCAGGAGCTGAGACGATTCGCTCGGACAGATCCGGCCTTTATTGGCTCTTTAGCATCAAAGGTCTAACGAAATTACACACACCTTGGCCCCGCTCAACTCGCTGGCCCCGGCGTTTTATGAATCAAATATTTGATTTGGGAGGTCTACCGTTCCTCGCTATTGCCAGCTGCCATCTGAACAAAAGAAAAGGTCACGGGGAATCCGGCTTTATCAAGGTGACTGGCCACTTATGGCCCACTTGAGCCGGTCAGTGCTACGGAAAGGGAAGGAGCGGGGGGAGAAGTGGGACCCGAAAGGGGGGACGGAGGCAGAAAATACAGTGGGGGAAATAAGTATTTGACCCCTTGCTGATTTTGCCGGTTTGCCCACTTACAAAGAATACAACGATCTATAACTTTAATCATATGTACATTCTAACAGTGAAAGACAGAATCCCAAAGAAAATTCCAGAAAATCACATCATATGAGTTTATAAAAATGGATAACCATCTGATGAGGACAAATAACCATTCTTTGTAAGTGGGCAAACCCGCAAAATCAGCAAGGGGTCAAATACTTATTTCCCCCACTGTAGATGGGGAGAAGAAAGGGAGCAAGAGGGAACACATTGTGGGGGGGGGGGGGGATGGGAGGAGAGGAAGCGGGAGCAGAATTCCGCAAAGCTGTCGCCTGGACATATTGTGCTTTGATGGGTTGGCTTTCATTTTTACTGCCGTTTTTCTTTGCCGTGGAAGAGCGGTATTAAAGTCTTCAATCTCTGCCTGATATTACAGGACTCAGGGCAGATTGTGATAAACAGCGCTGCGCCTTTCCTGGGTACTTCCTCCGAACATCTGTTGGAGCATCGCACACTGACAAAAGCAATGTAATTACAATGCGCCATCTAAAAGCCACATACCACACAGGACCTGGTTGGGTTCTTTAAAGTAGGTGTCACTTTGGCAGGCGAACAGTCGTTCTGGAAGCGGAGCCGAGTGTGTGTGTGTGTGTGTGTGTGTGTGTGTGTGGGTGTGGGCGTGGGTGTGGGAGGATGCACATAGTGTCTCTGTCTGTGTTTTTCCCCCGAGCTCACCGAATCATAAGTGACTGTGGGTTCGCGTTGCACCATAGAATTACAGCACTGTGTGTTGCGTTCAAGTTAACCGAGTCATGTTAAGACACATGCGGGGTGTTGTTGCCAAACAGGCAGGTCGGTATTTCAACATCTGTGCTCCATCCTGCTATACATTCTGTACTGTACAGTCATTTGTACGGGAATGATTGAGTAAATTTCCACTACAAAGTGACATACATCCAAACATCACGTATATAACACCTATAAAGAATGCTATCATAAGGTTTTATTTGTAAAGACAATGCAGGACAATGGGAAGCAAGAGACATACAATAAATGGATTCGAACCTAAGGATATTTACCCTGTAATGCCAAATGTATCATATGTCACGTCTGGTGTCTCGTCATGTCCTGATTACCAATTGTGTGCACCTGGGGTTCCCCTTCCTCGTGTGTTTAAATAGTCCTCGTTTCCCCTTGTCTGGTGCGGGGTCGTTCTTGTCTTCTTGCCTTGTCTCTTGTCCTTTCGTCCGTCGTCACCCCCACGCCAGGTTTGTTTCGTTATAGTTCTGCCACAGCCACAGTCATAGTCACGTTTTGTCATAGTCTTGTTAATCTTTATTTTGTTACTTTGTCATAGTTTTTCCACAGTCTTGTTTGCTTGCTTTGATACTTTGCCCACAGTTTGCCACAGCTTTGTTTTGTACTTTGTCTGGACATTCACCCTGTTTGTACAATAAACCTTGTTTCCCCTTCATTCCGCGACTGAGTCCTCCCTCAAGACCCACCTCCCTGACATCATATTTGATACATACGGTTTCTGAAATGTTTTGCGTCTGACACCTTTTGCATAATTTAATGGTAATAACTTTGCTCGAAATCCAATTGTACACAATCAGATATACCTGATAACAGGGGGTAGAAGACTACACAAAAAATAATCTTGACCTGTCGCATAGTAATAAATTATTAATATTAATAATGTATTTTTGTTTTTTCTTTTTACATATTCTGTTAAAAGGCCAAATAAAGTCTTAAAACCAAAAAAAGTCATTTTCTGTTTTGTTTTATTCTTGGATCAGGCTTTAAAGGGTTAATTGCCTGGTGAGATCTTACAGGGAAAAAACATTAATGGTTTTTTTTGTGGCTGACAAACAGATAAAAGCACTCAAATTGCACTTTTTCCATCTAAACATTCATATATTTTGCAGGAATCAATCTATATGGCAGCAACACACCTATGTACAGCTTTCGTGACACATTCATGACACATAATGGGAGACCTGGTTCCAATGGTAAGTGAATACTGATTTCCGCTTACACCCACTTCAATGCAAGCACTGTTCCCACCCACGATTTCTGGCCGGTTGGTAATGGATGACATGATTTGTCAGGTCCCCTCCTCTTTTTCCCAATCACCTCGCGGTTCTATAGAAACTAACACGTAATTGTGACTAGCAGAATAACAAAATGTATCCATAGGGAGAGAGGGAGAGGGGATCGTCCTCTAATAGTGTCTAACAAAACAAGATTACAATTTAGATGTATTGTATATCTACAAATGCTACCATGATGAATGCATCCGGCCTATGAAGTTCTGTCTTGTGTAGATCAGATGAATTTGTAAAATGCATTCTTTAAAAATGAACAGTCAAATTACAGATAAACACATTATCTTTAATTATTTCAGTGTTTTCTGACATACTGGTCTTTGCGCCCTATTTGATCTGACTGAAAAGAACATAAAATCTGCCCAGGTGTGTCGTGAAATCCCGTTTTGAAGTATCTTCTTTTGTGGTTTGCTACCCGATTGCCCAACAGCTTTAATTGTCATGATGGGTCAATGCTGCAGACACCTGAACGTTGCACAACGCCGCCTGAGTCAGCCCGCGTGGGGCAATAGTGCGGATTATGCCATGTATCACTCCACAAAGGCACAAGAAGGGTGTGGATGTATATTTACAGTCTCAAGTGGGTGATAAGTCCAGGTTCACACCCAAAGGCCGCGGATCTGCGCCGGTTCGGAGGTCGCCGCGTAAATGTACGAGGTAATCTGCAGACAAACAGCCCGGCCCTCTTGTACAGTCACCCGAGCAAACATCGTGCACTTATTTGTCTCGCCGAGTGTCTCGTAGCCCAGAGTGAACGCTCCACAAATGCTGATGAGCTGCCAGAAGATGACTGTTAGGCGAGCAGTTATTGCTGCGTAACACGTCTGGCCCCATTGTTTGATGTGGGTACGCCCGTGATTAATTCAACTGCACATTCAGCTAAAAAAAAAAAACATGTGGAGAGGGATTACAGTCAAGGTTGTTGGCCTAGGTGGCTGGAGGCCAAGAATTGCGGATAGATATAGAATTGCAGAGAGAGAGAGGGGGAAAAAAAAAAGAGAGATACACAGAGGGAAAAAAGGAAGACGTATAAAAGACCCCCACAGTGAATGAGACTGCCTACTTATCAGCCATGAGCGTGATGTGCAAACAGAGGCCTTTCAGGGCTGCCAGGCACACAATAGCTTTGTTTGCTATGCAATAGAAACCAGTTGTTCACTGCTGAGTCAATATTTACTGCCTAATGGAATGTGTGCTCGGCTACTACCCCTGCTCAACAACACCAGATTGGAGGAGGGACTTTTCTTTCTTTTTTTTCTTTTTTTTTTTTACATCCCCTCTCTATCTTCACCCACGCACACACACCCACACACACACACACACACACAGGCCACCACCATCACCCTCTGTCCCTCTTTCGTCCTTCCCTCCCTTCTCTTTATCTGACTCTCCCTATCATCTCGTTCCTCACTTCCTTTACTCCCAGTTGGTCAAGCGGGGTTAGGTAACTCCCTGTTCCATCTGATTCTTTCCACCCCGTCTTCTGTCAGTCGCACATCATATCTCTCGCATCTGCACCTCTTGCCCCCCCCCCCCCCTCCCCCACCCCCACCCCCCCCCCTGACTAGCAAGGCCATAAGGAAACGGCGGAAACGCCATATAAGGCCGGGAGAAAAGAGATGACTTATCAGCTGACGTGGTGAAGGAAATCCTGAATTCTTTTGAATTCCTGTAGAAGAAGTTTAAAAAAAGACAATAAAAAATACTAACAGATGGACTATTGATCAATTCATACATGTCAGCAAGTGTCAAGGCCCAAACAAAGCCGATGACATGGCCAGCTGATCAGATACCAGCATTAACAGGGTGATCCTTTTTATCCGGGAACCTTTTTGGTGCACAGTGGATGTGATACGTGTGGTATTTACATCACGGCTTCTGATAAACTGCAGATAACTTCCCAGATTGTTTCCCTAAAGGTGCCGGACTGTGTTTTTTTCAGTAGAGCGGGCTGCACAGCTCTACTGACGCACACCTTTACACAGGTATGGATGGCTAATCATAGATACGCCCAAACATTTGAATGTTCTGTTCTCTTTCTCGTTTTTCTTCAATGTATTTTTATCCCAAACAGACCGAGCAAACAACTCGTTCCCTTTTATTTTGCTTCAATATCATTTCCTTTCAGCTTTAAGGATTACTAAGAAGGGGACAGTTACGGGAGAGACTGTGGAGGGGGGGGGTGGGTATGGGGGGGGGGGGGGGGGGGGGGTTTCCATGGTGACACCAAGGCAATGAAAAGATTGGACCAGTGGAGTAAGCAGTGTGCGCCAGTGGGTGTATATGTGTGAACACGGGTTCAGCTCTGGAGCTAGACACAGTGGAACCATTCATGATATACTATCTGGCCCCCAGCAGCCTTCAGTCTTAAATCAGAGCTATTTGAAGGGTTCAGATCCTGGCAGTGCTCTTTTGTGCCAGAACCCACTGCACCACTTGGGTACGGAAAAAAAGCACAGAAAAGAGTAAGACATTATTCCAGCGGCATTTGATGTCTTTTGTCCTCCTTTCACACTGATTTATTTTGATTCAACAACCTGCCAAAAAGATGAGGTCGTGTTTGATACCCCTGTCATGAAGAATTGATGGCTTTGAGTAGTGTTCGTTAATGGTTTCATGCTGTCCAGGGGATAAACAATTAGAGGGAGGCATATTCATAGTCCCTAATTATCCCTTCTGCATGCAGATTGAATGTTTTCATAAGTTTGGCTGCTAACGAGCAAAATCCCCCCCCAATGCACGGGCATTTAAATTTGTCCGTGTTCCAAAACAAAATCACCGAACTGCTGTTGCTTTCAGCTCACACTGTGCCGAGCAGTCACCATCGATATTATCAAAGCGGGGCAGTTAAGGCCTCGTCTAATCGCCTTTCAGTGCCATTTTCCACTGAACTTGACCTTTCGCTGAGTCCTCTGACGGGCCGTGAGTGGTCAGAGAGCATTTAACAGTAATTTGTCAATGAAATGACTTAAAACGTGGACAGTTTGCGTAAAGATCCCCATCCTCTCTGCTCTTAGCATACATTACAAGAAGAATCATTTTCAAAGCAGGCCCAGATGAAGCCTATGTTAATGATATATGTGGTCTTTGATAGAATTGGCACATAATGAAGACTATAATGTGGACACAGATGCCTTGAAAGAATTCCATCATTTTGGAAGCTGAAATTCAAAATCAGGAGTAATACCTTAAAGAAGCCTTTAAAGATAAGACCATTTCTCATTTGGCATATGAAATAATTAATTATCTCTTTGGAGGAAATCTTGACAAAGGCTAGTTAGTATGCATGTAAATTTCTGGAATTGTAAAATTAAATTGACATCATTAAGTTATTATGTGTTAGATTACATCTATTTGCTCTCAGAAGGTCTCCCAGAGTTAAACTGATGATTAAGTAATGAAATGAAAAGGCGAGATCAAATCAATGGCAGTCTATATTAGCTGTGGAGTAGCCATTCTCTGGTGCTGGTATTAAAGGAGGAGGGGGGGGGGTCCCTGACAAATTACAGAGAGCATTAAGAAATGAGTTAAGTTATTTGCATGTAAATTCAAGGCAGTTTAAATAAAGCCGCTTAGAATTTCACAACATGTTGCCCAATTTAATTTTTTGTGCTGGCGTGCTAACATATTAGTTATGCATTCTGTAAACACTGATATGACACTGATATGAATGTCCTTTGTCTCATTGTCATAAATTATGAGGAAGTCTACATAAAAAAGGATTCTCTTCTCTCATAATACCAAAAATATTTACTTTCATGGGAGAGTTGGTGAGAAATGTCTAAACCTCTAAACCTCACAGTCTAGCATTTCTACAGGTGGCAGAGGTGGAACAAAATCATATTAAAGCTAAAAATACATACATCAATATCAGCCCTTTGGTCATTATTGGCCTTTGTGGCATGTGAACAGAACAAATTCAGACAACCCTTATATAATTCAATAAGGTAATATCTTTCCTTGGTTTGGATGGAAGGATGGATGGATTCTCTTCTCTCATAATACCAAAAATATCTACTTTCATGGAAGAGTTGGTGAGAAATGTCTGTACAACCTCACATTCTAGCATCTCTACAGGTGGCAGAGGTGGAACAAAATCATACTAAAGCTAAAAATAAATACATCAATATCAGGCCTTTGGTAATTATTGGATTTTCAATAAGGTTATATCTTTCCTTGGTTTGGATGCTTGGGACTTAAATACTAAAATGGTCCCTGAAAATGAAAAAATAAATAACAGACCGGCGTTTTGTTTGACCAACTTTTACTTCCGTTGAAACAATAAGCCTATGCAACTTCATAAAGCTCTCATTTTCCATTTTCCAAGTAAGATGCCTGCAGAAATTAATCTCAGGCCCTTTCCATAGATGATAGCGATTTGTATGGTTTCTGGTGTGATGGATGCAGCAATCCATCTTTTGTTTCTCTGACCCAAGGGACCACACGCCCCTTCTATGTCCTTTCTGGCAAACTAAGACCTTCTAGATTTGTATTTAGTCTGAGTCAAACATAGCTTTCTGAATGCCACACATTAGATCTGCTGGGTTCCTTCAAACATTCAAGTCAAGTCTGATCTCAAGATCTTATCACTTTTCCTTAACTTTACGATCCTTTCGAAACAGAGCTTCGCCACAAACAAAAGAATGTGCCTCTGCAATTCAAAGAATGAGAAGAGACCTTATTGCTTTGTTAAACATAGCTGGGGATCTTGAAGAGTGGAATCACATTTTCCTAATATTTTTAAAAATTGCTTTAATGATCTGAACGTGAATATTATTTAAAATTGTCACTGCTTGTGCATATGTTTAGTTATTAGAGGAAGACAGCTTCCACCAAAAGTGAAGACAGCAGGAAATGTCCACATGAATATCTCTGCAAACTTTTATAGCGTTTGGTTTTGCATGGACTGAGAATTGTTATCGCCACAAAAGGCTGACTTAGACATACCTAGAGGCATGGAGGCTGGAGCGGCTAAAAGCTTTGACACAGCAAATCACGTCGTCATAAAAGGAAAAAACTTAAAATGCAACGACTCTTTCTTTGCATTTGTTTTTATTGTAAAAACAAAGAAGGCCTGCCCGCTCCCCGCAGGTGGATTCCATTCGAGTGGTTTTGTCAATACATTTTAATATTTGTCCGGATCCAAGGAGACACAATGACATTAGAAAAAAAAAAAAGATCGTTCGAAAAAACAGTGCTTCAGCTCCACTGCCTCATAGCCGGTTAAATGGAGCGGAGGGCAATGAGCAATTCTTCAACAATCCCTCTCCTCCGTGCTGCCGCAGGTTGTTCTTCCCCCTTCTAAACCCATTGCTTCCTGGTGTTCCGGCTTAGAGCTTTACCCTGTGGGGTCCCACCAGGCTGGAGGAAAACACAAGTGGATGCAGCAAGTTGCCATGGAAACTTAATAAGCCGGCAGTTGTAGTGAGAGATGGAGTCAACTACAGTACCCAGTGAAGCGTGTGTCTGAAGGAAATAAATTGAATACGGTGGAGGGGAGGGGAGGGGAGGGAGGCAGAGGAGGTAAAAGAGGCAAGAGGGACAGCGTGTTATTGTGAAATAACCTTTTAAGTCGGAATTAAATATTTTGTCAGTAGTGTGTGGCTCCGAGGTCCCTCTCTGATGTGCCGTGAGGAAGGCTGGGGGTTAAACGGCTGTCTGTGTGGTTGACGAGGATGCTCTGTGTCTGCCGTGTGTCACCGACCAGTGCCTTTTTTTCTCCCTCCTCCTTCCCAAACCTCACCTGCAGCTGTCGTTTTTTCGACTGCTGGACCATTACGTCGTCTCCGGGGCGCCATTGATGCGCCTTTCGGCTGTCAAAGCTCAAAAAGGCCTCCAACACGCCATCTGATCGTCAAACATTCTTTACGCCACGTTCGTTAACCACCAATCTATCATTAATTATCAGCCCGTGGCATTTATGTAGAGGTTGGGGAGATTGATAGCTAGCGATTGGGGGATGGGTTGCTGATTGAACCGGTCTGTAATGACTCACAACAAGGAGGATACCTCTTAACTTTTATTTATAAGTGGAGGGCCCCCCCCGCTCGCCACTTGCCAGGGGTGTTGTTCATTTGTCTGGCTAACCCGATAAAATGAGTCCTCACTGCAGCTGGAAAACAGCTTTATCTTCATCCTGCGGGTCTCTCAGGGTCCTTCTCCATATGTTTCTGGACAGCTCAATGATCATCTCTCTTTAACTCCACAGGCTCCTGTTTTTCTCTCGCCCCACCTTTAAAGAAACAAATTAATTCCCTTCTGAGGCTTAAGCCCCCAACCAGCCAATACAAGCTTATCTGGCGAATGTGTGTAACTTAAAGGGGAAGTATTTGCTTTTAATTTGGGGGGAAGTTGACAGCTCCCCTGCACAAAAAGCTCAGTTATTTGGCTTTGAATTGAATTAGCTACCCTCTGCAGTACAGCCCCTACCGAAAAACATGGGATAACAACAGAATAAAATCAGAATGAATCACAATAAATATCATCAACTATTTTCTTTTGTTACGAGAAAACAAGATTATGTTTCAGTGAGACATTTTCCATAGCAATTATTTGCTCAGTTTGAAAGTTGGGGCAGGGTTATTCCACCATTCCCTCTTATTCATCCTCTTGTCTATATGGAGGACATCAGTTCCAGAACTTTTAGGAAGGAAAGAATTAACTCGATATGTTGGTGCTGTACAAAAGCACCAATCTTTGTTTAATTTTGTGTTTCACATTATTTCAAATTTCAGTTGACGGACACGGACTGCAGGCAGACCAATTAAGCTCCTGGATCATTCTGAAGACATGATGCTCTAATAAATGCAGCACATTGTTTAGCCTTGCCTGAAAAAAGAAGTGACCTTGCTTTGAATTATAAATAAATGTGCGCTGCTTCCATTGACACCCCCATTATTTTAAAGATGCAAGCTAAAGACCCCAAGATTACAAGTATCCCATACCAATTTGAATCCATGTCCATTGCACACAGAGATGCTTTCTGGCTTCCAGAACATGTACTATAGCAAAGTTTTTTGCTAAATTGAAAAATGTTGCTGCCTCGCAATTTATGAATGCGAAATATTTTGCAGATTGCTGAACGGTTGCAAATCTCTGAGAGATTTTGCCTCTCAAAATCCTTTTTTCACATAAAACAACTGATCTGTTGCTCTTATTAATATAATTAGTTTGAACATTTCCCTTCAATCGTTTATTCAATATATCCTTATTCTTAGCCTTTTGCATTCCTATTACTGGGATAGAATTTTAGATACAATGTTTTTATTTTTATTTTAGAGATGACATGTGATATATGTTCAGTGTTAAATAAAATATTGGTTGAGATTTCCCGATCACTTCATTCTGTTTTGATTTATCTTTCAGACAGCGTGTTAACTTCTTTGAAATTGGGATTGTAAAAATAAAATACAAATACTGAAAGAAACATCTGAGCCCCATTTTTAAGGACAGTGTCCACGGCGTCCTATTGTTGTCGCACTCCATAAAACCAGGCCTTGAGCAAGTCTATTAATCATCGGGAAACCTTGGCCTACATGTAACAAGAAAAAGCACTGCAACATCTTGTTTCTTTACGTGGCTCCCCCCCCTCTCCCTCTACTTGACACTATTTACAGCTTTTAAGATGCTCAAGCCACCAAAATATGGCGTCGTTTTATCTTTAGACAAGTCGATAAGGCAGCATATTGGTTTTCTGCTAAAAGCCGCGGATTGTGCTGCCTGTATTGACTCATCAGTTGGGCAGTTCAGACTACAGCCCGGGGAGACACATCCACACACACACACACACACACACACACACACA